TACAGACGCTGTCAATTGACGGATTTATTTTTCTCCGCTACTACTGGTCGGCTACGGTCCCTGCTAGTTTATCTAATAAAAATAAAAAAAATAAACCCCGGCAACGACACACGACGTGTAAAAAGGACAAGAGTTTGCAATTTATCTAATTTGTGTCGGAGTTTGAAAAAACAGGTGTAAATAAATCTGAGATACAACAAAAGGTCTAACTTCTTTGCGCTTTATCTTTTGATTAGGTATCGTCTTGGCGATCAAATCATATAATATTAAAACATTGTTCGGTAGGAACTGAGAATCCAAGAAAAATATATAGTACCTACCTATTGTTTTAGTTGTATTTTATTTATATTAGTTCTTTACCCTATATTTTGTACTTACTAGTTCCAAGAACTAAATAAAAATATGCGTAGTCATATTATTGTACAAACGAAGCCAATTTATTTAAATACGTAAAGAAAATATGAAATAATTTTACTTCATCAATCAAAATTTGGGTATATAATATTATATTTTGCTAATTTTAATGTATGAATATATATTTGCAATTTGCATTATGTAAAAGTATTATTTAATAACCAAAATGTAAATTTTCATGCAAAGATATCTTCATTAAATATTTAAATGTGTTGTAACAACACACGTCGTTCGTCTTTAATTTTGTATACCATTATAATCCAATAATTAATTAAGCATTAAATTAAGATTATCGCTAAAATTACTTTATAATACAATATTTAAATAAGCTTAAATGCTAAACTGGATTTAAATTAAAAAATTAAAATATTAATTACATAATTTACATTAATTACACTATGTATTTATTTTTATTGTTATCATTACTCATTAGTCATTAGGTAGCTCCCTTTTATTTATTAAAAGCTATATTTTTATTTTTGAACTGTAAACTTGTCGTTTGCTTACAATTCCAAAGATCAAAAATAATAATTAATTTGTTAAGGGTCATTGGCCAACTATTGTTTACTCATACTATTACACTAACTTTTATTGTTTTAATAATAATAATAATAACACTAATAATATAATAATGAATAATACTTATAGGGTTTTAATGTTTTTTCTAGTGTTCTAAATTATATTACAATATTATGCAATCTACATCTAATTCATAATTTATTTTATTTTAGCCCAGGACCGCAAACGTAAAAAAATAATAATATTCAAAAGATTTTATTCTGATATGTTTAATCTTAATGTTTATTCAGTATAGGTAGCCTATTATAGGTACGTATGGTAGGTGTTATGTAAAAAGTAAATAGTGTAATTTCATAAAATTATGTTTTGAGTAGAAGTAAAATAATAATATTCAATTTATTTGAGATAAAATTAACGTAGAATTATTATTATTATTTCTTTAAGTGTTATAACGTTATGATATTTATACGTACATACCACAAAAGCTTGAAGAGAAAAAAGTAATAAAAAAATCACAGTCTGTAAGTGAAAAGTTATGTGGATAAAATAATATGGTTTATTTAATATCATATTTAAACAGTATTGCCATTATAATACAATCAACTCAATACACAACATTATTTTAATTTCGAGACATTATTTTGGTCCATTGCAGGAGAAAATTATTTCGGATCGATATTCTTTTTATTGGTTTTGGCTACAAAATCCTATTTCTTCACAGAACCATCATGCTAATTATTAATTACCTATTCTGTTTTATTAAAATGTTTAAAGAATTGGATCTATAACTTTACGAGTGTATTTTTATAGGCACAATGTTTTTTTTTTTTTATTAGATAAAATAGAGTATTTACAATCTGTAATTTATACATACAATAAGTAAATATGATAACAAGAATAGGTAGGTAACATGAATGGCGTGAGGAGGGAGGTCCACCAGTGTGGATACCCACTAACTTGGCACAATGTTATTAATTATTTAACAACGTTTTATTAGTTATTCGATTTTTGATTTGAACAAGACACACGCATAAGCACGCATGAGTACTTATAGCTATATGAAAAATAATCAGCAAATCGGATATGACTTATCCGAGTTTATGGACAATATAGAGACTGCTGAAACTGTTATATAATATTATAATAAATGTGATTAATCAAAGTTATAATTTCGTCAATTTATCTTAATAGCTTAGTTAGGTAATTCATTTGTTAAATAAATAATTTATTAGTGTGCATCACAGCTGCTATTCGTCATACAAATGTTGGTCTCGGATTATGGCTTGATTTCGTATAAACGCGGCATTTACCTGCCTACTATGGTGGCCTTTCCACCATATAATTTATACCATGCTGACGCTGTTTGACCTCGTGAAATCAAGATGTTGATGTTGGTGCTCGGTAAAAACATAAACCCCGTCAGAAACCGTGTAGCAATCTAAGTTATACTTGAAAAATCACACGGCCATCTGTTTTATACCACACATGGGGGTCGGTCGAGTGGAACGATACGCGCGCTCGTCACGATGACGGATCACTGGGGATGCGAAAAAAAAAACAGTGTACCTACCTACGACTGCCTACGCACACATTCCTCATAACTTTTTCAACATTTTTTTTTTTTTTACCCGGTCAAACGAATCGTTTACGGTTTTCTTTTGAACGGTTAGGGAAAAAAGAAGAAAAAAACTACGATAATAATAATAATAATAATAATAATAATAGTAATAATGTAGAAAACCAAAAAGGTATGCAGAAAAATATTTTTGGTTAAAGCCGGAAAAATATGAAAAGCGTGTATAGTAGGCATAACAGGTACCCATCAGACTACAGAGCACATTTGCAGCGAAAGAGAAAAACGCCTGGAACCCGATGGACCGCGAGGAAACGTGATTGAAAAAAATGCACATAAACAGAAATATATGAGAAAATAAATAGGCATTTTATACCGTTTTACACGTGTTCCTTTCATATTTCCCCTTCAGTTCGGCTCGGAAAATCCGTCATTATTTCGGCCAGCCACTACAGCTTTCGGTAAAGCCGGATTTAAAATATTGTTATACTCGCAAGTATACGTATCCGCTATAATACAAACCCCACACCCCCCCCCCCCCCCCCCAACATCCGCTTTACTTAGTTTTTGAGGATTATAACTATAACAAACTGCATTACAAAATGTAATTTGATTAGTTCTGTTGATTGATAACATAAATACAATTATTAATGTCTGAACGAAATTTAAAAAAAATGATCGATCTGTATTAATTTGTGATTAAATAGTACCTACCTATATTTCTTCAAAATTAAAAATAATAAAATTGTCGATTATTGGTACATATTTTGTTATACTCCAGCTAGCTTACAAAAATGTAAGTATGTATATTACAGTTAAAGTTCTAAAAATATCGATAATATATAATTATATGTAGGTATACGCTAATACTTTGAGGTAGGTAATGTGTTTGATTTTATTTTGAATAATTTATTGATTATATATCTTAACATTATCGATATTCCTACGTCCTACAAATAATATTCAGCTATTTTCTATTTTAAAATGATATGCCTTATTATAATATTGAACCTACCCTTTTTGTACCGTATTTAATATTATAATACATATTACGTATATAGGTACTGCACTACTGCCTAGGTATTTAATGAAAAAACTAAGGCATCATATTCTTGATTCATTAACCGATGGGTTTTTAAACGGTCTTCAGATGTATTTAAAAAATTTAATTTTTGAAGCCCTTAGTAAGTATCAATAATTATTAATCATAAAATAATTACATTTTTATGCTTAATTACAATTATTGTAAAAATACAACAAGACCAGTAAAACGTGAAACGTATTTGTTCGATGCTTATTATAACGACGTTTAATATTTATAATATTAAATACATTAAAAACCATGTATTACCTACACAAAAAAAGATTCAAACAACACTTCCTTTACGTGTCAACGTCGACACGCAATACATTTTTTTTTCAGCATCAATGACGATGTTGAAAGTCCGATAACCAGGCAATACTGACATAGGTATAGTAACTTTCAACTTTCGTACTCAATACAATTTTTTTATATAGGAGTAGCTAGTTTGTATACAATTCATAAGTATTTCATTACAGTGCAGTGTTTCACTTTTGGTTTTGCGAAGTTTCTACCATGTTTCATAACCACTTTGATAAACACAAAATCTGGTTCCTTATTGTATTATAATTTTACTAAAAGGTCCACGTTTTATAAATATGATGAAAAAATTGAAACTATTTTTAAACGGCATGACTGTCCTCTATACTATTTTTTTCATATATTTCTTCGTAAAAAAATCTTTTTAAGCATTTTTAATTTTAATGAATATTTATTGAAAAAGTGTAAATAATACCAAAATTATTTATATACGTTTAATAAACGTTGAGTGATGTAAAACAATTAAAAATATATTGTTGTATTTATAAAAACAAATATAACATAATTACATAAACATTAAACATAATTCAGATACCTGATCCCTTATGCATGCAGTTATCCTAATTCTAAAACTAAGTATAAGAATTAGGTTTTGAAAAGTTTTGAGTGCTCGCCAGACACGGAAAAAGGGAAAAATGTATACAAAAAGTTCATCACTCTTTTCCGCTAACGTTTCTGAGTTCTTAAGCTATTTTATAGATTTTTGTTCCACGAACATTATTCATCTGACAAAACTTCTTTGTTTTTTTGTAACTTTTTTTTCAATACCTCGACGGCCTAGGGGCCATTCTTATTTTCATGATTCCCACCAGAGTCCGAATTTTTTAAACCTATCCTTTTGTCTTGATAAAAAGGGAACAAACTATGTGCTTGCTTTTAAGAAAAACAAATACATAAAAGAAAAGTGCTAATATTTTGTGACGCTATATACACAATCCTCTGAAAGTTCCATGTAATATTTTAATGTCAAGAAATAAAACATAGCCAACAAATCTGGATTCATACTGTTTAAGTTCACAATAACGATTCCTAATTAAAATGATACTGATTAAAATGATACGTTTAAAACTTAATAAAATATAATATACTTACTTTAAAATCTGGATCAGTACGTTTATTAAATGAACCAACGATGAAAAGGTTTCCGGTATCGGTGTCTACCATTTTAGCCAATGTTGTATACCTAAAATCAAAATTAAACAGGCTTGGTTAATACTTAGGTCTATAGGTACGTCCCGTGATAATATCTGTTTTTTCGTCTATTCTCAAATAGAATATTATTAAAATTAATTAACAGTTTGTTAAAAATTAAGCACACTGGATTGAAACCACTTAATTTAAGTACCTATTCCAAAAGTTTAAGAACTTATTACTAACCGATAACAGGCATTAAGGATTTCCATCTTGGAACATTTTGAATTTTTAATTATTTGTGTATTATTTAAACCGACTAAGGCATTTTATATCATTGTATAAAAATATATATACAATATACATTTTATGAAGATATGCAAGATTATGTGGTATAATATGTTAATAATATTCTATAGTACTTTACAAAGAACGTAATTATATTCTCAACAAAAACCGAAGAACGTTACATAACACACATCTCTTACAAATATATGCATATATTAAGCTTATTACTATTACAACAATTACCTTTTATGTTGTAAAACTTAAATGTAAAATGTATACGGTTTTTACATTTAAGTTCATACTACTATTGTTTATAAATATGATATAATTGGTTGACATTTATAATTATTGTTGTATATTGTTGTGTAATCGTAACTTAAAACGATGCACGTATCAAATAAACTTAAATTTACTTTAATCACATTTTTAAGCACTCATATTATCGACCTGGGTGAGTACATACTACATACAATTTAAAAACTAGAAAATGTATACTGATTGGTTGTTGTCGAGCGTTAATAACAAAAATGTTACATTTATCAAACTTCAATTTTTAAATCTAAAATAAACAAATTAATATTTATTGAATTTTTCAAAACATAATCTATAATTAAAAATTAGGTACGTAAGATGTATAAAACTATAAACGTGTACCTATAGATCTAAATAATTTTTAAATGTAGTTAGTTCATAAAAATCTTGGTTATAAAAAATGTAGGCGAATAAATATTAAAATATACTTTATATTTTGCTTATAAAAACTATTTTTATTAACTAACCTTACGGTTGTTACCGAATAAGAAAAATGCCTTATTAAAATGTCATACTTGTTAAATATACTGTTATTTTATGTTAAAAGATATACATCAATCTTATGTTTACGACTTGGAATCTCTATCCCATCCCTAAATCCTAAAACAATATCGTGAATAATTCAACCGGCTCTTTCCCCTACTGGTTACTGATCAAAAATTATTTTCTTCCAGCAAGTCTACCACACCCCAATACTCCTCAGTCCTAGTCTTAATGCCTTGAAATCATGCACACCGCAATAACCCCAATAATAATAATAATAATAATGTCCGCTAACGCCCGAGTTCCGTCCCAGAGGCTGGCAATAAAACGCAATGATTCTTCTCTTTTAATACCTATATACTCTCTTCTTAGCCAACAATGGAAGGCAACCTCACAGAATTTTAATCGAACACGTTTTGTTTTTCCAAGTGACTCGTGAAGTGTGAGCGAATATAACACTTCCGTAAGTTACGAATCTGCATCAATTTTTTCTTAAACGAATCAATAGGTAACACATTTCCAAAAATGATTTTGTCAGATAACACATCATCTCATGCTAATAATTTTTAGGCCGGTATTACAACCACCTATTAGTTTGTTATAACCATATATTGTTATTGTGAAAATACAGCACTTATAAGTATTACTGCATTAGTTCTGATTTTCAAAATAATTAAATGAAACGTAAAACTGATCAAAGCAGTACCCACAACGATATTATACAAACATATAAAATAAATGAAAATGTTAAAATAAGCTAAACGCTTAATTTAAATAATTTCAAACCGTCTGGTCTCATCCAAAATTAATATTATTATCACTACAGGCTGCAGTATACACACTGGCATATAGCTTACGAGGTACGCTTTTTTCTATAATAAGACACAGCATACCAGATCCGATTATTATGACGTAGCTGCTTTAAAAATTGTATACCTTTTTATACTTTCGTAAGAATTTGATGATTGTAGACAACATATATGTATACAAAATCGATTTATAAAATGCAATATTATAATATGCACATTTCCCCGTGACGTTTAGTTTTCAATGTATGGTTTTATTTCGAATTTCACATTGTGATTGCCTTTCTGACGTATATACAAGGTTATTTCATTCCAAGTTGCTGCATCCATTTATCCTATATAAGCGTTCAAACGGTTCATCAAATATTTTCTCTCTCACGGTTCATCGGTTTCATAGTAGCAGCTGGCCCTCCGGGGAAAAACTCAAAACCTGGTTTACCGATTCTGTTATATACCTATATATATTGTGTCGTGGATATATAAATTGACTACGACGACATGGCAACTTTTAACAAGCCAATTTCCGAATTTCTCTCCATCTCGCTCTTTTCGCCCTCTATCCACGGTCCTTTGTCCGTTTTAATCTAACCGCACGCACTAGTACGGCATCTGAGTTCTAACAAGCTTCCTTTATCCATAAAAGGATTAATCGACCGTACGGAAAGTCAAGAATCAACCGCCCAATTGTATTGTCCTGTCCGGGAAAACGGGTTCAAAGCTGCAAGTATAATATATATTACAGTGAAGTTAAAAATTGAAAAAACAATTACACGTTAAAGCGTACCATTCTATACATGTTGAAAGTAAAAATAAAAACAAACAAATATATATATTATAGCTTCTCGTATTCCGAATTCGAAATGATATCATCCTCTTCATCATTCGTTGGAGAGGCCAACTCGATTCTAAACGAGCAATGAATTGCCGTTTAGGGGCTTAGGATTTATTATCGAGCAACTGGTATGCAAATTGAAACTTACTGCCAAGGTCTTATCTTGTTAGATTAATACCAAGCGATCAGGTACCTACTCAAGTTGTAGATTAATTATTCATCTTATACAACACAAACCTGCGTCGTTTGTGCGTCGGAAGAGATATTACTCAAATACGATGGTTCCAGCAGGATTTATTAATAGTATAATTAAATATCCCTTATTGCACCACCTCTACTTCTTCCTTCTTAAGTGCAACGATTTTAAAACGATTGATATCATCCAATGAGTTCCCTACTTATGTTGTATAAGATGTAATACGTACGTATTATAATATATTATTTTATTTGTAGGTGCTAAATCGAAAAAAAATAGACTGAAACACAAACCGAAGCAACTTTTGAAACGTTTTACTCATAAAATATGACGCCACCCCTTACCTTAACACAAAGTGTGAATGAGTATAAAATATATTTTTACCTATTTAATATTTATGAAAAAAAAGACAGTAGTATTTACTATTTGGTAACGCGATGATGACCATTTTCAGTTTTACAATTTTTGGAATTTTTTTGTGAAGTCTATTTCGGTGAGTATTTTTGTGTAAGGACGGATCATATTGCACCATTAACAAAAATAAGGCCAACTGTTTCGGCCATCATGAATCATTACGATATAATGTGTTTTTCTATACATCGATTAAATTCTCATTTTCAATGCTGAGTGTTTATAAACATACGATAATGTAATGTATTATGTATATTTTTCACACAGTAGACACATTTTGGTTGATATGCATACATGCTGATATTGCTATCGAAGTGAAGCATACAATATATTTTAATTTTTTCGAATATTTACCAATAATCGAATTTCAATAATTGATGATATTTTGACATGTACATGTTTAGACTTTTAAAATTCAAACGTTTTTTTATTGATTTAGTTTTTGAGATTTTGGAAAATTACAAATAAACGAGTGAGACACAATTATTATGTATTACAATTGATTTAGCATTTTTTGTTTACCACATCTCAAAACACTCGAAAATTAAAAATCTTATCATCGTGTTTCTTTAAATTCTGGGATAGCTAATTTACAGGACTAACTAATAAAAAAAATGTTAAAAGTTGAACTATTATTTTTCATTTAGTACGTATTCGAATGGTTATTTTAAGTTTTAAAGTTTAGACATGGGGTGGATAGTTGACAGGGCCTTTGAGGAGTATATTTTATAGAAAGCTGCAGGCTGTTGTGGTACTTATGTTCAAGGACAAACGCTGTGACACCTGCAAATGTATATATTTTTGACAGAGTTTTATCTTTTTGTACGGTAGTAAAATAATGTACACATATACCTATATTCCATAAAAATATTCATGGTTTTTATGTTTATTTTATAAATGGGTTGAACTAATCTTATGGCCCCCAAAAAAAGTCTAAATGCTCTAAAAAGTTTATCAGAAAAAAAAAGCAAAAGGGATTTAATGAAAACATTTACGGTATACCCAGAGGATATTAAACAAATTATTTTTCAATGTTAACTTTTATATATATATTATATAATATATATGTATATATTTTTTTGGTCATGAGTCAATTTCATTTTGTTTTACAGATAATGGGTTAAAATTCAAGTTCTGTGTTTTGAAAAACGTATAAGTTTTAAAAGTATATATAATATAGATTGTGTGATGGGAGTGACATCTATCCCTCTGGGAATAATCGGTTATATTTCGCAATTAAATAAAAACGCATAATTGGTTATGACAAATATAACCTTACAAGTTACAAGGGAGTCCCGGGGGAACTGTGTTGTTTACAAGTTTGTTAACAAACACCCGACGTCAGGTCGTATTTACGTTCTTGTTCATATCGGATTGGGTTTTATGGGCTCATATTCGTAAGCTTTATACCAGCCTCGTGGGAAAACTGTATTGCCAAATGTTTGCGGTTCGATTTTAATTCGTCCCTCTTAGCGATCATTTTTGTCTCGGGTACACTGCGAACGTATTTTTATTTTAAAATATAATATTCCGTTGTGTACTTTAGTATATTGTGTACACTTTTAATACACCAGTGGGTTTGCACACAAACTATAACACGGGAACAAAACGGACAGTAAAAACATGATAATGCAATATTCGCTTCAAAAGTCCACTGGGCGTACGTATGCAGACAAAGCTTAAAAAACATAGCTAATGGCTATTCAGATACTTTGTTACCCCTACGTTTCCATTACCTATATGCAGTAGGTATCTGGTATATAGGAAATCATATTATTGTTTAACGCTTTTCAAATGTTACCATGGCGATTTTATATCATGTTTTATGTGTGTTTGTTTGATCAAATTATAGAATCTATAATACATATTTTATAAATGAAAAAGTGTCAACGTTTTTAAAAAATATGTCAGAGTATTTTATATTAACTTTTTTCAGTGATAACGTGAAAGTTATACATGTCAAACATGTTAAGAATTTAATACCCGAAATGAATTATTATTAATGAGAAAAAATATTATACAATTTTTACAGTAAGAAATATAATAACATTACATTTTACATTTCACTGCTTAATCGCTTTTAAACAAAAAGAGAAATATACTCAAAAATATTTAAACTGTATTCATTAACACCAATAATTAATAAATATATACCTGATACTCTATATTCAATTTTTAATCTTCAAAATAATTAATTTCAAATAACTGTCCATACTTAATAAGAACTTATAAAAAAACTGATGTATACAATATAGAAGTTCTATAAACCCCACGATAAGCCTTAAATTGTTTCTAGGTTTTACTCACCGAACTCTTTTGCAAGGTTAGTCCGAACGCAAACTATTGATTTTTATAACATTTTATGGTTTGAATAAAATTTCATTAAATCATAAATTATAAAAAGAGGATTATAAAGTATTGCATAGAATTTGAGTCTGTAGAAATATAACTGAACATTAATTACATTAAAAAATATTATTCTTTCAATAATGTAGTTATTATTAATATTTATTAAAATGTAATTAATTAGTTTATAAATCTCTAGTTGAAAAAAATGTATTCTTGCTGATTGAGTTTATAAATTCAATCCCTAAACTAAACTTTTTAAAATATATAAATTACAGCTAGTGGTTTTAATTACTTAAACTAAACTTGAGCGAAAATCAATTATAATTTATAAACCGTGTCTATTTCTTAAGTTTTGAAATAAATTCCCTAAGATACGGTTCGTAATATAGTGTTTTTAGTTTTTACTTCTGCTGTTCAAAACGTTTCGTTTAAAGCAAGAACAAAAAATATGTTTTATTCAAAAAATAGAGACCGACATATCAACGGCTATGATATATCATAAATATAAGAGTGTAAAAAACATTTTTATATTTTGCAAAATTGAATTTTTGATGTAGAGTGCAAGAGACGTTATTCGGTATTGATTGTTCTTAGCCAGTTATTGATATAACCATATTTCAAACGTTATGAAAACGATTTATGTTGAAAGTATGTATAAATTGGTAATTCACGTTTTTCACTTGATGAATTTGTTGCACTAAAAATAATAGCTGGAATTTATTTTAAATGAGTTAACAATTGATCGTAAAATATATTTCTGTAAGTTCAAATACTACTGTTTTGTATTTTTTTGGATTAGTATTCAATGAATAGTTACTGAACATTTAAATAATAGTCCTATTGTTGCAAAATATTGATGCATAAATATACCATTTTCAGTAGGTATATTGTTTCTTATTCAAACACGACACAATGATATTATCGCAATTGTATTATCGAATTTGAATAACGCTCTGAATTTAAGTCAGAATATTGTTTTTTTATGATCATTCAAGATGAAAAATCTGTGTTGGATTATGTTTCAAAACTAGGTACGTAATATGTCTTATTTTTTAAAACATTTTCCAAGATAACAAAATTTACTGTAATTATTAGTAAGTACAATTCTGGTTGAAAATGTTATACACTTAATGTATTTATTAATTATTAAATAAAATAATATGACGTAAAATGGCAATAAACGATTTACAGATATCTGATATAAAATGCACTGTCTGCTGTAGTCTTTATCCAGTAGAGTTTAGAGATATTTGCAAATTGAATGTGAGATGGGACATAATATCATAAATGCTAATACAAAATAATTGCACGGCGCAAACAGTAGAGGTATTGTATATTATGTACTGTTATTGCCTATGTTCTGCCCCGAAAATGAGGGTATATTCGTGGGCCTTCGTATTCAATTTATAGTCCTGATTCAACTGCCCGTCTGCCCGAGTAATCTATTCCAAGGGTAAAGTACTTTCTAAGTGAAATTAAATCCTGCTTTTCTTATAAGTTTATCTGATAAATAGAGAATATTTTACGATGTACATATGTTACACGCTAAGTGCCCTAAATATTTAATATCATTATTACATAGTATTCTCGATGACACTTATATATTTTAATTAAATACCAAGTCTTATTGGAATAAATAAAAATTTAATACAGTCATAATATTATTGAGAATAATAAATCACTATAAAAATCAAGAATTGTATTCGATTTCAATTTTCCAATGGTTCTTTTTAAATTAATAAAAGACTATTTATACATAAAAGTTATCATGGCGTCTTTTGAAACTTATTATTTTAAAACTTCGGACTAGTTACGAGATTGAAATGTATAATACAACATTGAAAACAATCAAGCATAATAAATACTTTCGTTCAATTCTTGAAATATATATTATACAAAAAAAGTCTGTCCTTCAATAATTGATATTGATTAAAAGTATAATATCAATATTTTATATACAAATTAGTTTTATGTTACGGAAGTTACATTTTGACAAAAAATTAATAAATCGAAGATGTCACTCTGCTATTATGTATTATAGTACGTTTTGAGTGTAGACGTACCTCACATTGAGTAATATTTGTAATAACCTATAGGCTATAGGTCACTATAATGGATTAGAATACGTTTTTTAAAATACTGGAAGCGTTGAAAAATTACTCGTTTAACATAAAATCTTTGTCCGATTTCCAATATTTAAGGACAAGTACGTAAGTTAAATCAATATGATTAAAAAAATAAATATTTATCAACAATATTGAAAGCCCAATAGGTACCTACCAAATATTGTATTGAAATTAAAATGTATTAATCAAACTATTAATTAAAATTTAATTTCCTTTTTGATTTTTGAGTAATGAAAATAAATCTAACCAAATAATGTGTTTTGGCATTATTCACCATTATATCTTACGATAATTTTATTCCCCCATCTCAAATGATGGAAATTCAAATTTTCTCGCTGTACAACGCACGTCAAGAATATAAATGTTATGCTGAATATATTATACATGTCATTATCGTGCAGGACATTTATTTTAAGCACTGTAAATACCCGTAGGCCGTTCACAATGTCATGATATTACCTTGTGTTATGAATATATATATATCGATGTGATATCATGAGTTATAACGTGGTAAGTAAGCGAACATGGTTTTAAAACAAAAATCTGCGATGTGTAAAATTAGGTATTAGTATGAAATTTTAGTTTAGGCGTACGAAGACGACGGCGGTGAGGGTAAAATAAGAAGAAGAACCCATCTATTCTTCGGCGAGCCCGTTCGACTTCACAAAATGCCGTTTGGAATACTAAACGAGCTTTGTGGAGGATAACACCTTAAATTGCATTACGTTAGACAAATAATACACCGGAGTCATCTTGTTAAAGAAACTCTACACTGCAAATCGGATTAAATTTTTCGGTTTATTATATTTTTTTTTGTTTGTTTATCAAAAGTTCAACGTTTCAAATTGAAAATAAAACATGATACCCTACACCAAATGAAAATATTATGGTCCCAGGTCCACGCATAATATTCTGCGACGGTTCATCGAACGCACGACCGATGTAACTATACACAGCGCCAAAAGGGCTATGGTATTTACTGAAATATACACCATAGTTGTATATGATAGCTAAAGTGACTGATAAAAACAGTATGTAAAAGTATAGATGAACCTATGTTTGCTGGTTAAAACTACGCATAAAGAGCAAATACTACAATAGAAGTGAATAGGTAGTGAGTAAAAAAAAAACATTTTCGACAAAATCGATAGTAGGTATAGCAGTTTAGGTATGTGGTACGGGTACCTATAGTTTATGAGGTATAATATGATTAAGTGTATTTTCTTTATATTAGTGCATTTATTATTTATACTAGGTACCTTTATTTTCATTATGATTTAAAATAATTAATGTCACTATGGATATAAAATACTGCTGACTAAAGCTATAATACCTAGATATTTCAAAACGAATTATTATCACACCACTATAATCTTTCGATTTCTCGTACATTGCTTCTAAGCATCATAATTATTTACTATTCGCCACAAATCGGCAAGGATATCAAAAATAAAGTGCTTTATACTCGTTTACATAATTGTAGTACCTATATATCTACTAAAATTCGGAGGTACTGTTAATGGGCTACTTCCTCACTCGATCGTAATCATATTTATTATAATGTGATGAATGATGATTGATTACATTTAAATATAATTATAATGTCTTAATTTTAAATAAATAGGTATTCCAAATACGTACATGTTATAGAGTTATATATAAAATCTTTGGACGCCATTTTATTGACTTCCCCTATAATTTATAAGCAAGTGGCATAGTTTCTGATATTATAATAATATATGCTGTTTATTCGGAGGTACGCAATATTAGTTATATTTTAATTATTATCATAAAATTAGATGTTCTTACTTCCTAGTGCCTGTGACTTCAACTACTTTACATTTGCTTCGATTCCACCAAGTTGGTGTGAGGGTCCAATAACTCGACACTGCACTTCTTGCCCATCCTTCTTCCGGATAAAGAAGAACCTATACAATTAAAAACATCAATTAGTAAAATAAATATATATTATAAGAACAACTGGTGATTTTAACTGTAAGGACGGTTGCGATCTATGTTTAGGTACTTCTCGGAAAAGAGAAAATGTCAAACTCCACACATTCACATACGAAAATCTAGGTTACATTAAGTGAACACTTCTGAAACGAAACTTCTTGGAACTGAGCTCTGAAAATACGAACCAATAACACATTCGTCCATTTTTTTTTTCAGATTGTGTTCAACCTTTTGTTCTATTTGACTGTATAAATGTGAATACTTCAATTTACGCAACACATACTAGAAACTATAATGTTTTAAATGCATCTTAATCTGTCAAAATTTAAGTTTCATTGTAGTTGAATCGACCAACAAACATATTCGTTTCGTATAAAGAAGAACATAATAATCGGTGATAAGATACAAGGATTGCTATTTAAAACAATTTTCAGAAGTTACAATATTTATGTTTGACTTAAGCCTATATAGAGGATTATAAATTATAATATTTAAGGCTTATACAGAATTAAAAATTTAAATTTAGCAAAATTTGGAAAACTACAACATTTTCTGTGTTGTGTAAGTAATAAAGTTTCACCATGTTAGATAAACTAATATAATATATTACTGTATATTATTAAATATTGTAAGTACATAATAAATATTTTTGTTTTTGTTTAAAATTAAGTCGAACTCTAATTCGTTACAGTTTATGAAAAATATATACATTTTTAATGATCATAATATATCAGCTAAATATTGAAAATTCACAAGGTAGATATAAAAACAGAAGAAATATTCTTTTTAAACATTTTATATGTATCAGGATTTAATTTTAATTATATCGATTGATTAATTGAATTTTAAATAATATTCGCAATTAGTAAAATAATTGTCTTTCGTACTTGATACTATATTATCAATTGTATTTAAGATATTACCCAATAAGAATAAAAGGAAACTGACGGTAAATAATTTATTATGTGTATGCGAAAATAACAAAAACAAATCACTAAAAATAGTGTCAGTCCGTGTTACGTAATACTGCTGGAGCCACCTATATCCCTTACACCTAAAATTGTTAAAAGTCGAAGACATTACTTTGAAAAGTCGTATTTTCCCAGTGCAGTTTATCTTGATTTAGGAAACTATAAAGTGGTAGACCAGATTTCTTGTGTAGAATTCGTAGAAAATTGCTTCAAGAGCTCGTCGGCAGTACAAATATAGGTATATATAACATATTAGGGCAAATGGGGATCAGACGACATTTACATTAGGCCTAAAAAAAAACTTTCGCAGTTCGTTTAAAAAGTTTGTTATTTTCAGGAATCGAACGGTTGCTTCCATCAGAGATTTATAAGAAGACGAATCGTTTTATCTCCGCATTGACTGCTAAACCATATTACACCGCACACAAAAAAAAATGTAGACGCGATATTGCTCGCAATACTTAAGACGAATAATAATATAAATGCAAGAATAATAAACATATAAGATAGCGTTGAGAGTATAAAAAAATAAGTAATAACGAAATGAATAAAAATAATAATAATAATAATATGGGGAAAATATAATACAAAATTGGAGTTTCCGCCGGAACTGGCTGATTCGCAATTAGGAAAGGAAAAAGGAAATAATGTTATGCACGGCACAGGCCCGAGGCGATGTGACTAGATGTAGCATTCGTCGTCGGCCGCGACGGAGATGGAAATCTTTTCCACCCGATTTGTTCCAACTTGAAATTATCAAATATCCGATTTGTCCCGAGGTTTGCGGCTACACGCCGCCGCGGTATAAGGGTAGAAATAATAATAATAATAATAATAATAATAATAATAATAAAGGTAAAAAAACTCTTAAACATGTATTTATTGTCACGTCCCATCTCGCGCACCGTTCGCGGTTGTTTTACAGGAATCCGATAAAAATGTGCACAACACCACACACACACACACACACATAAATATACAAAATGTACGATAATTAGTATGATCGTAGTATATTATATAATATCAGTCCAATCAATGAGCTTACCATTGGTTATCATGACAAAAATAAGATAAAATCTGTGTCTATTTTTGACTCACGAAAGTAGATTACGAAAAAAAATGTCAGAAAAGCGTAGAGTAGGACTAATTACAGCGCTTAAATGAGCTCAACTATATTTCATATTATTATGGTCTGGGAAGTTCAAATTGATTTTATGACCGAGAAATTCATGTTTTGTAGTCACAATTTCCATTAGCGTGCGGTTATAGTTGGCGTTTGAAGCGGCTAATTTATGAAGACAAAATAATGTACAGCCCTCCGCAATAAATATATTTTTCATTAACATAATATTGCAAACTAATAATAAAAACAAACGCAGAAATACGTGTATCGTATTATGCACTTCTTCATTGTGATTTAAAATACATATGAAAGTACATTTACCTTAAATTGACAAATTACGACTTTTTTCCCCTCTATTTTTTATTACGAATTATTAAGGTGTTGTTTATATATATATAAGAATAACATTACTACTTTAATATAATAAAACAATTCATCATACATATTAAAAAAATCTTTATTTTCAAAGTTCATATACATAACACAAGAAAGGTAGGTATATTGGTTTCTTAATTTAATGTTGGGGTGAGCGTTAATTCGAGTAAATGTTGGTACATAATCCTGATTTATGAATTCTATGAAAACTTTGTTTTGCCTCCAAACAACTAAAACCAAATAAAAAATGTTATAAAAAATAACATCTAAGCAAAATAAAATAATATTTTATTATTTTCATTTTCATTCTTATTCAGGCATACCTTAATCCAAAAACTTCAACTATACTATACTTTATTTCACTGGATAAATACTAAATGCCTATGTAAAAAACAATTACATAGGGACAATGAAATATTCAACGAAACCTCATACTGAATAATGACAATAATTTTTAAAATCATATAGTATACATTATACATTGTATAGTTCAAGTTAAATTGAATATAAACATGAGGGATATGAGAAATTATATGGAGTTTTCGATTTAATATTCACTGAAGTCTGTATGTATGTAATACACAATTTTTAATGTAATATAAATAGTATGATCGACGATCAATAAGGCATTTAATGCTTGGAATAATAATTTTAGTAAAAAAAATAGACAATTTAATCAATAATTAATTAAACCTAAGTAGATATTATTTCTATGATAGTACAAATCACCATAAATTATTAAACAATTAAATTTATACTTAGATAACAGTAACAAACTTAACAGAATTATTTTAATTTTTTATTGCTTTATTTGTATGACTCTTTGACTATAGTATTGTGTAATTACTGTATTTAATTAAGATTCTGTTATAAGTGACGTGATATTAATTAAAACATTTAAATTACCAATTGGATTTACATAAATTTATATATTTTTTCCTAGAAAAATTATGTAAATATGCAGCACTATATTGAATATTCAGAATTCTATCGAGAGTGGTTTTTAAATTACAGCACTAATATTTACAATTCCCTTTTTGCGGAACAATAATTTTCAGAGCACAATGGTTTTATAAGAGCTTTTAAAAAGTTTCACACTGAAATAAAATCGTAGCATTTTTATGTTGGTATAAAATTTATTGAATACTTAAGTGTCTTAAAATGTATAGGTATTATCTGGTTGATAGTAGTAATTCCTAGACATGAACCGTAAATACCTATTGCAATTTGCAAAGTTTGTTTTTAATATAATATTTAAAAATGAACAGTGAACACGTCGTGTAATATATAGTTTAGATCTACTAGGTATCAGTTTTGTTAATAAAGGCGATCAACTCACCACATTTTCTTTAAATACAATTTGTAGTTTTTAGAACTGATATTTAGAATTTTGTTAGTAATAGATACATCAGTAAATGTACAATCTTATATTAATAATATTTAATTAATTTCGACCTAAAATTAGAAAAATTAAGGGCATAATATTTTCAATAAACTGAAATCCGCTCAAATACGCTTTCATCATTGATATTTTTTCTTCTTCTTTCGTAAATATTTCTTACAATAATTCAACCAATAATTGTCAAATTGAGTGAAATGAGAAAGCTAGTAATAATACGCAATACGCATTTGTATATTTCCGCTCGTATTACCACATAATACCATAATTTACATTAAGATCGAAACTGAAATAAAGTAGTAATTGGATTTAAACGCTGATCTATTCAAGCTTTATAATTATTTAGTGATTCTCAAACTTTGTTAAGCAGTAAGCATATGGTGATACGCGGAAGGCTGTGAGAGTGTGGTAGTACCTATGGAAAACTAAAAATTAAAATGTTCACTAATGTTTGCAACGAATCTCATATTATTTTTTGTTGTGTGTAAATAGGTGCTAATTATACTGTTAAATGTATCATATTTTATAAATTATATAATTTTATATACCATTGTTCAAAATGTACCTACTACAATTTTGAATAGTTCTATTTTAAGTCATTTATGGTACATGGCCGATCCGGAATACACATAAATGGCATTTGAATAAGTAAACGTTTCGGAATATCTATTTTAAATAATTAAAAGCAAAAATTAAAATTAAAAAAAAACATATGTAAAGGCGTTTAATATTGCAATGTGATAGTCGCTGAATATATATATAAGCTCAAAGTAATTTTTAATATGCGATTGTCATCACAGCTTCAAGGACATTTCCACAGCATCCAAATTAAATAAAAATATAAATCACAACCGCCCTGCAGTAGCTATATAATAGCCGAGGGCCACCCAACGTGCGTTTTATTATCGTATTTAATACTCGTAATACGAAATATAATAATGTGTAGGTAATCCTCCAGTGATTGTCAAACGAATTAAATAGGGGTACCTAGAGTTCGTTATGTGTATACTGTCGCTGTGCTGCAAATACACAGGTCACAGATAGTCAGTACCTTTCTATCGATTTCGACGATCATTATAATATTATCATTTATAATACAATATA